TATATATATATATATGTTGCAATAGTTTTTAGGTGATGCTGTTAATTGCTCTAGTACAAAATTAGTTCACCGACATAAACGTGTATGGTTTAAAATAATTGGCTATATATATTTATGTGGACACTTGTAGTTTTGCACAAAGTCATATCATATCATATTAATTCATTAGCAACAATTTTTGTTATTTTATTTATATATCTTTTTTCTTCTTCTTCTTCTTTACTTCACCAAAAATTCTTCAATCAATTTAATTATAATTTTTTTAAAAAAACAAATGGTACATTCAAAGAAGTTTAGAGGTGTGAGGCAACGCCATTGGGGTTCTTGGGTTTCTGAAATTAGACACCCCTTGTTGTAAGTTAATTCTTTCATGAATACTATTTTTCTTATTAACGAATCAGAATGAATCTCAGTAAATCGTGACAGCAAGATCACTCTTATATGAATACATTTTTCATATAGATATACAACATCTCTCTTTTTCAATTTCCTTGCTCTTATCTAACTTAACTTATCAATGTTACAATGTTGGTATTGGGGGATGGGATGGGAGATTAGCCATTTATTTGTATACACTACCAAAAATCAATCAATTTTCGTTGAAAATAGCTTCATTGAGTGCTATGCTTTTTCCGACGGACGACTGATCATTTTTATAGTATATTCACTCATAACAGTTACTTGAATATGACAAAAGTCATTTTCTAACGTAAAATTTTATTTTGTAGAGCCGTTATAACTCTTTATCGTCAGACCTTTCAGTTATTTGTGTTTTTTTATCTAGTCACTTTAACATCATAGAAAATAACTTTTTTGACTTTACTGTTATAGCGAATAAATATCAATAATCATGCTTGATTTTAACCCAAACTATGTTTTTTTTTTCTTTTCTAATTATGATATATATATATATATATGTGTGTGTTATAGGAAACGAAGGGTATGGTTAGGGACATTTGATACCGCTGAAGAAGCAGCAAGAGCATATGATGAAGCAGCAATATTAATGAGTGGAAGAAATGCAAAAACTAATTTTCCAATAACACAAGATTTGGATAATAATAAAGATGTAAAGGCTAAATTAGATCAAGAATCACCATCATCATTTTCATCACCAAAAGCTTTATCTGAAATACTTCATGCCAAGTTGAGGAAATGTAGCAAGGTGAGCACCCCCACCCTACCCCCACACCTCCAAATTCTGGAGGGATTTACATGAAAATGTCTATCGAAAAAACACGTGTTTCAAGTAGTGATTAGTCCATTTTTTGTGATACTATTTTCTTGTTAGCATATTTTAAAAAGAATAATAACCTTTCTATTTCTAGAAATAATTTAACTTCAAATTTTTTATCCTACCTTTAATCACATGACTTTGTAGCCACACAAATATTATAGCATATTTTGATTACAAGTTTCAAAAAGTTTTATTGAAAATTATATATTATTCCTTTGTTTCAAATGATGTGTCATACTAATTTCCTTTCTAATTAGTATGTTTCAAAAAATAGTATCGATCACTTTGTATATTTAGTAACTCTTTAATGTCAATATCTATTCCACATGGTCTATGATAGTCACTACTAAAAAATCACTAAACGAATTTGGCTCATCGATAACATTTTCGAGAGGTAATTTTACATGGAAAATCACTTACTGATCCATATACTTCAAACATATTTCTAGTGAAATTAATTATTTTTTGTTTTTTTTAATCATATAGGTACCATCACCATCTCTCACTTGTTTAAGATTGGATATTGAAAGTTCACACATAGGAGTTTGGCAAAAACGTGCTGGCCCTTCTTCTGATTCAAAATGGGTAATGACAGTTGAACTTCAAAAGAAAAATAATCCCAAAAATATTAATGTTCATGAAGGAGAATTAAATAATGATAATAATAATAATTCCAAGAATAATTGTGGTGAAATAGTTGAAGGTATAAGTATTAGAAGTGAAATGGATGAAGAAGAAAGAATTGCTTTGCAAATGATTGAAGAATTGCTTCAAAGATGATAAGAAGGAAATAAAATCGCGATGGACAACTTCTGTTGCTAAACAACAAAAATCTGTTGATGTTGATCCTATTTAACGATGGATTATCTAACGGTGGATTTCAAAGCTAATTTCTATTTCTATAGTAGATAACTTACATTGTCTAATGTTTGCTTAATTATCATGTAATGTGTGATTAATTTTATGTTATTAGTTTGATTTCTAATAATAATTTGGGCTAGAAAAGGGCCTATGTAAGTAGTATTTTTATTTTTATTTTATAGAAAGAAACAAGTTACTAAAGTTGTATATCCTTTGTGTAGACAAAGTAAATCAACAATATTGTCATCTTCAAAAAAAAATATTAAAAAGAAGTTTGATAAATAAAATATCTTGATTGTATATCATTTATCTTAGTATTATTTTTTGTATTTTATTGGTGCTTGTGGTGTGGATTGTATTGCTCTTAATTTCAATCAAATATTTCCCCTCTCGATTTTTAAATAAATCAACAGAAAAAGTACTATATATTAATTTTTGTTATAACAAGTTATTTATAATTTCTAAAGGTTACTATTTTAGATTTAATATATATTTACGTACCATTAATTGAGAATGCAAAAAATTCTATTGAAAAAAGAATTTTAATAATGTACCGGTCAGAATGACAAAACGAACCTCTAGGAACAAAATGAAACAGAATAAAACATAAACTTCTTTTTTTTTTCAAAATGTTATTTAATATTTTATACTTATATTAATGTTTCGACTAATTTGGATTCATTTAATTACTTAAGGTTTATTTAAAAGGAAATTAATGTATAATGTGACATTGATATAATTGCTATTTAATCATTAATTAAATATTGATTGTACCTTTCATGGGTTGTCAAAATCTGTCAAAACAATTTCTCTAATTAATTATTATTTAGGTACGTCATCCTATCTTTACCCCCACTATTTTAGAGCCGGTTTGATATTACTAATAAAAATAACTTATTTTTAGAAATACTTTTTCAAATGACTTTTTAAAAAATGCTTTTGAAAAAAAATATTTGTGTTTCGCTAATTCATTTGAAAGTGTTTTTCATAAGCAAATTATGTTTGGATGATCTTTTTAAAAAAGTGCATTTGAGAGTCAAATTACAAAAAAAGACAACTATTAATGTACTTATATTATTAAAATTATTTTATAGAGAAAAACTATTTTAAACATCTATTATAAAAATTAATTAAATCTTTATTTTTATTAAATTAAAATGTACATAATTAAATTTTCAATCAATATTATATCTTTTTTGGGAGGTTGAAATCTGTAAGAATTATAATGTTCTTGTAACGATTGTGTGTAATAATGATAATGGTTTTTCTTTTCACGTGTAGAAATTATAACGTTGAAAGGATCATTATATTTTGGTATAAACTTTATACATTTTGGAAATAGAAATTCACCTATTCCCCAAATTCAGATAAGTTACACCAGAAAGTCGGTCCTATATTGGAGTAAATCACTTTCTAACCAATGTGACTTCGTACTTGTGAGACTCAAATCTGACCCTTTTGATTAGAGATTAAGAAGTATTTATCACTTCACGACTATCATTATTGGTCAAGTGACTTAGGGTTGCTAGCTAGAACAAGAAAATTTGAAAAAATTAAGAAGGTGAACTAGCTAAGTAGGTTTATTTAATTGTATCTGCAATTAAAAAAAAATCTAAGTCAATTCCTTAAACATATAATTAATATAATTGTCTATGTTATGTGCAATATAATTTCTAGTTGAAAGTGAACTAGGTAGGTTTAATATTTTATTTTTATGCTCTACATTTGCTCTTTAATTATCAAAGACTAAGGGATGCATTAATTTTATTTTTTTTAAAAAGACCTTAGCTTACAATGCTATGAAATATCACCATCGTTATTCATTACTAATTCATTATTGAGCCTGTATGTAGAATATGCCCGGAATTGTCAATAATTAGTCTCAATCTTATTGAAAAGTCTTAAAAAATAAAGTACAATTTTTGTATGAAAAGTCATCAATCATAAAAGAAAACTTTAATGTACATGTGTGAAAATAATATAATTACCTTAAAAAATAATATGCATACTTGATTTCATTTATTTATTTGAGTTGAGGGTTTATTGGAAATAACTTATCTATCTTCATACGATAAAGGTAAGGTTACGTACATTCCATCATTTTCAAATCTACTGATAAAATTACACAAGATATATGATATGCATATATATATATATATATACAATAAATAAAAAGAGAGGTATGAAAAATATATATCGATTTGGACCACGAAATAAAGTTTTAATAAAGCCACTATAATAATTTTAGAGCTAAATCTGCGATTTAATGACTATAGATCGATACTATTTAAACACGTCATGGATATGACACGTGTGGTACATACATTATGTTTTGGCTTAAATATTCAGGACCATTTACAGTGGAGCATAGGACCAATTTATTTTATGAGTAATTAAGATATAATTAAAGAATTAATTTTGGGGACACCAATTTTAGTTTTACCATTTACAATATATTATACTAATAATTTTTATGGTCCCTCTATTTATTTCTGCACTAATTGGAAAACCTCTTTTTTTCTTTTTAGTTTTCCACCCACGTTTGGTATCGGAGTATATTTTACGAAAAAGGTAAAGCATTCTCTATAAAAAAGAATATTATATTTTGGATTTCAAACATGAAACCTCTGATCAAAGATGAAAATACTACTATATAATTACCATTCATCACAATCCGTATTGGTTGGGAAAACCTCTTAGTCTACTAGTACAAGCATTTTATGAAAAATATATCTTAGGTATATCTAATCGAAATCAACCCTTAAATTTCAAGTACTCATATGGTTTGTTGACTTTACGTATAAATAGGTTCATAGTACCCGAAGCACTAGGATGATCCTATAGTTGTGAATTGATGTAAAAGTTTCTAGCTAGAGACAGTTCCAAAATTTCAACTCGATGAATTTTCAATCTTAAAAGGCTTTTACATTGGACTTATTATACTTTTGAAATTTTGCACACTACGCTCACCTCATACATTTTTACAGAGCTAACACATGTAAGTTCCCCGAACATCGATCGTGGGTAAATGGGCCGACGTTAGCCCGAAAATTGAAATTAGATAGTACAAGCCCATTATATTTCATAATAGTAATTTGTTCATTAGATGCAAGAAAGGCTCAATTTACAAAAATCCAGCCCAATACATGTAGAAACTGGGGGCCCAAATATTGTTGGAGACCCAATTGAAGTTTGAGAGTTTACCTTTTTTTTTTTCTTTTTTCCAAATAATATTTTTTTGTTTCTAGACAATTGGTTACAAAGACATGACAAGTTTACATTTTATTTTTGGTAAGAGCATGACATGACAAGTTTATTGATCATATATATATACAATGTAATTTAACTGGTTAAAATAGCGAGTTATTACTTTATTCCCAAAGTTATCGCGTCAAATTTGATATAGTTGTCTTTGTGTGACATATAACTTACGGGTTTAAGCCATAAAAGAAGCCACTAATATTTGCATTACATTAGATTGTCTATCTCATGCTTTTGGAGGTGTTGAGGTCATTCTCCGGACCCTACTAACGTGGAGCCATGAAAGCAGTCACTAATATTTGCATTAGAATATACTGTCTACATCATACTCCTTAGGGCAGCCTAATGCTTAAATCATCCAGCGTAAGAAGGGTCACACCTTAAGGAGTGTAATGTAGACAACCTAATATATAAGCATTATTGACTGTTTCTGAAACTTGAAAGGCCGTTATTGCAATTTGCAACCAAAAAGAGAAGTGAAGAAAAAAAAACATAAATGTTAGATAAGTTGATAACATAGAATAATAATAAAACAATATGGTCCATTCTTACTTTCTCTTATGGCCTAGTATCCTAATAGGGATAATTACATATTTTGATCCCTAAATTATTAGTAATTTTTAATATTAGTCCTTGAGATATTTCAATAAGTATATAATCTTATACTATTAAATAAAATGTACATGTTTAGTCCCTTAATTATATATTTACTATGGTCGCCTAGTACTATATTATATATTTCGACAAGTTATATGTCGTCTTTACAGCCGCCAAAAGCTTACCCTCGTTTGGATATTGAGTGGATTGACCCGAAAAGAGATCTAGTTATCAAATAATTGAACAAATCGACAATAATATATTTACTTGCAGTACTCAGTTGCCATTCTTAAAAATAATAGTATAATAAATTATGATCAGTTCAATCGATCATATTTAGCAGAAAATTAATATTCCTTGTCAAATGACAAATATCATGAGAATTGAAATAAAAATTTATATATATTATAGGGACTAAAATTGCAAAATTCCCCTCCAACAATAATAATAAATAAAACCAGGACACTATCTCAAAGAATATGAAAATTTTAAAAGTGGCTTATTTCTTGGTTTTCTCTAGTGTGGGTAAAGCTCACAATTTTTTATCAAACAAAAAAAAATAGAAACAAAGGGAATTAATTAAGATTATATCAAAGAATATGCTTTGTGGCTTCTTTTATTTTCCATCACTATTTAATTCTCATCCTATTAAACTTATGCACGTTATATTTTAAAGAAAGTTCCATGAGGATCTTTAGAGAACATGCCAAATGGATAAAGCATATAATTTCATTAATCTAATCCAACTTGTTTTTTTCATAGATATGGTGTTACAAGATTTTTTATTTTTTTTTAAAATACAAATTTTAATAAGGTGTAACAACTTCAATTTCATAATAAAAACATTCAAATATTATAATCACTATACTCGAAGTTACAACGGAAAATGGAACTAACAAAGAAAATTATTGTAGAAAATAACTAGAAGGGAGATGAGAAACATTGACTCAAAGAAAGGGGATGAGAGGACTAGACATTTTTCTCAACAACTTGCATTTGCATAATCCCTAAATCACATCCTTTTTGATGGAACGTTTCATGCCCACTACTCAATCCGTATCCCAAATTAACCTGGCCCTATTGCTCGTTCTCGACCCAATAACTCTTGTCAGCCCAATAACAACTTGTATGACATTAGTATCTACATTGGGCTGGACTTGGTTCATAACAAAGGCGATTTAGTAGTTGACTTGACTTGAATAATCACATCACAATTTACATGACATTTTTGTAGTTCTTTAAAAAAAGAATGACATAATTTTTAAATTAAGAAATAATTGACTTTATATTTCTTATTTTACTTCATGCAAATAATATGATAGGTTCAAGATCACATATTTCAAAAGTCAT